TTTTGACTTCCACAGTTTCCTTGAGGAACATTTGGCACATTGGGGCTTGTAGGTGTTTTTCTCACCGCACCCATAACAAAATATGTTACGTTCAGCCTCACAATCCTCCCAACAATGTCCAAATTCATTACAGTTCCAGCACTTTACGGGACGTGGAGGCTGTTGAACTGCATCAACTAATTGAACTTTATCCTCAGTGAAACTATCATTACAACCATCAAAGTCTATATCTGCTATTTTCCTAATGCCTTGATTTGGTATAATCTTTGCTGATATGCCTCTACGAAATTGGTCTTCTGATAGTAATGACTCTCTCATTTGTACCAGTTTTCGTAAGTGAGCAAGAGAAAAAATCGGCACATATAACAACTCATGCCTAATTTCAGGACGTAAGTTGCGAGTTAATATCTCTATAACCTCCTGCTCCTCCATCGGCTGATCTAATCTATCGAGCATCGATAAAATCGAGTCATAGAACGCCTCAAAAGTTTCGGTTGGTTTCATTTTTCGGCTTCTAATTTCCTCCTTTATATCATAGGAAGATCGAAACTCTTTATATTGATATTTTAGGGCTGCACAGAATGGGGACCAATCAATCTGAGGAACTTGCTTATGGTACCTCCAATACCAGTCCTGTGCTTTTCCCGATAATAACAAAGGTAGGTTTTTACAGAGCACTGAAAAATCATTATTCAAATTTTCTTTAGTTAACGTTCTAACCCTATAAAGAAATTCGTCTACATTGACTCCATTGTGTGATCCGTCAAAGCGGATGTTCCAGTCCTTGATGATGGCTGTTACCTTCTCAGGTCTTATGTTGAAGTTGTCAGTTGTAGCAGCCGAATTCCTATTGTTAATATTCGGATGATCAACTAACGTGTAATTATTAGATGCGGTCTGATTAGCATTGGTGTTGTAATGTGAAGATCTTTGATTTGGATTTTGAGAGTTATTCTGATCTAAGAATGTGGGTCTGGAATTCCTGTTCGAATTGGAATTCCGGGGAGGACTATTTCCTCGCTCTATGAACATAGGACCCAAATTTAGATTCTCTAACATTCTTGTCACCGCATTTTCCACTATAAAGCCTATTTGATCATAATCTATTTGAGATTGAGGTGCATTGGCCTTTTGGCGCGAATTATCGTGACTTGTGTTGGGTAAGGGAGAATTTGTGGGAGTGTCTAGGATACCAACTTCGGTCACATCTTCCCTACCGGGTTCCAAATCAACTGAAGTGTTCGGAAAACGACCTTGAAAAAGATTTCGTACCTGACTACGGGTTTTGTATGTCTTTGACATGGCCCCTCTGGGTCTACCACGATTACTACATAAGTTCTTCACTTTCCTAATTTCTGCCAGGGAACATTGTCTCTTGCAGGATGGACATTCTGGTGAAGTACATAGATGATTATCAATGCAGTTTCTGTGAAAGCTATGGTTGCACTCTGATAATGTTACAACATCTTGTTCCACCAGAATACAATCTCCACAAATTATACATTTATTAAAATTCTCTGTAGCTGAAAAATTAGCGTCCACAGTCGTTGCTAGAGTCTGCACTTGAGGAGGAGTTCGCTCCATTATGAAGGTTATGAAAATTATACAATTTCGCAGCGAAATTAAAGTTTAACTATTCGAAATACAACATGTTCTACCATGGGGTGTGAAACAATAATAATAACTGGTGAAATAAGAATGATGAAATTGACAATAAAACAAACCAATCTATTGTATGATATTCACTAACGACTTGTCTGTAACAAACCAGCTATACTGTACCCATTCCTCTAATTTCCTTGGACAATAATTCACAATCAGCAAATCTATTGTAATCCTAAGCTAAATTAGGTGCTGATAACTTAGTTACGAAACAAAAGCTTTGTGTATACCAATGGGACTTTAATCTAGTAGAATATATCGAAAATGTTAAGACAAACAATCAGAAAGAAATATAGTTGTCCTTCTAGTTGGTAGTCCAAAAATCATCAGACAACCAATAATCCAAGAGGCACTAAATTTTATCTAGCTTGAAAGTTCTTAAAGTCCACGAAATACCACTAAATTAAGTTTTGAAATAATTAAAGTTAAAAGGATGGAATTAAGAGGGCAAGAAACTATATTGGATTTTAATCGAATACAATGTCTTGGCCCCACGTTGGGCGCCAAATTTATGTAATGAACCATTTACTGGAATTAACGTTTAATGTCCAAACAGACAATAATCAGAGTAGGGCGAACCAACGGGAGTCATTAATATGCTAGCTTAGTCGGCTTGGGGGGTTCGTGTTCTCCCAAACTCTAATATAATACAAATGGTCATACACAAATAAATTTAGAGACTCCCTCAAAACAATTTTACTATTGAAGAAAACTCAGAACAAATCAAAATAAATTATAAAATGAAACAAATTGATCCCCTACCTTTCTGGTGACAGTTGAAATACCCCGGGAGATCAAATAAACCTGTAGAAACACAAATTATCAATCATCATTCTATTAACATCTCCTGATGTTGCGGAGACCTTGCTCTTCACCCTCCCAACCAATGACTTCAGTCATGCAATTTAGATTTCTTGCTGAAGTCCCTGTTACGCTACACCCAGTTATTAGTTGTTCACACCCGGTAAGAACTAAGGTACAGACTTACATATTCATTTTTAAATTCAAATTATATTTCCATAAATCTTTTCTCGACAAAACATTTTACAAGGGGAATATTAAAGTTCATTAACTTAAAGAATAATTGCAGATAAATACATAATTCATCAATGAATTGTCTATTTGATATAAACTAATGTCAAATATGGAGTATACCTATCAATTCAGAGTAGCGTATTCACTTATGTTAAATGAGAAACTATGAATGTATAACAAAATTATTGAAAGAATGCGCAAACGAGTTTACAATAAGATCGACATAATGATCATAAACATTCATTCATTCATAGTTATATTGTATCAAATTTCAACTTACTATGATAGAATGAAAGAATAAAAAAAACAACAATGCAAAGCAATACGTTATATGAATGGACAAACTCACCACTTACATGAAATTGCTGCCGCTGCTAGATGAGGCCTCGTCTGCTGCTGACGCTAATAGATGATGAAGTTCAGTAAGATGTTGCTTTGCAATGCCTATGACCGCTTATTACTTAATTATTATGTACACTTTAGAAATATTAAGGAAGGGATTAAATTATAGTATTTAAAATATTTAGTAATATGAATAGTATGGAATCTAATGCATTTTATATAAATACCACATTGAATGGATCTTGATGAAATTTTTATAAGTAGTCTGGAGTGATATAAGTCCGGAATTTATGTCACAGGTTAGAATAGGTCGCTAGCGATAGTTCGTTGAAATGCTGGCATGACCAGTATGTAGAATGAAAACAGGTTGAAACCATCTCAATTTGGGGGATTCTAATGTTGCCGCTTCTTTCCACACTTTAAAATATTTTGTGCCTGTGGAATTTGGAATTCTGGGACTTGCTCTGGAATTATTATAATATTTTAATTCAGAGTAGCGACACCTGAAACCGCTTCCGATGGTATAAATTGCTTTATGAGTTTAAGTATTTCGTTTTCCCAAATTGTCATGTACTTCGAGTTTCTTTAGACTTGGACACTGTGGAAAGCAAGTCACACAATTAGGCGGTGGATAGCGTTGGGACCCACGTGTCCTGGACTCGTCTCATGGAATAAGCAAATGAATCCAAAGAGCACGCCAAAAAGCGCCGTGTTCTTCAAATCAACCAATTTAGAAGTATTTTAAGCTATTCTACTCAGTAGAACTTCCAAATAAAGGAAATAGCTCAAATTCTATAACACGCGGGTCGCTGATCACTATGAGGTTAAGATTTCTGTATGGGCCAAAAATTACACATTTCACTGTTTTATCAAAATTTTGCACACTTTCACAAAAAATATATTTTACCTGTACAAATATTTGGGGAATTTGATTTTATTTAATTTGGTAAAGAAACTAAGTTTTTCTTTTTTTTTTTTATTATTTTTTTAACTTTCCTTTGCAAACTGTCTAGTTTGTTAAATTTAGTAGTGATTCAGTCTTCACTATTGGATGGTTGACAGAGAAAAGAACGTTGAAAGTCAGCGGTACCAAATTGAAGCCTACGGACAAGTACATTTGCTGCGAGCATATGCTTGTTGAGTGTGCGGTATTTGCTTGTGATTGTCGGTAATCTTAATTAAGGATTAGCGTGTACAGTACCCCTTACAATAGATTTCGGTTAAAATAATATCAATTCAAAAAATAAAAATTAGCTACTTTCAAATGTACGACACCTTCCAAAACAGTCATTACAACAACGAAGTGGAAACGGATACCTAATATATCTGCTTTTCTTCATATCAGCATATCCAACAGAACTGAAGCATTCCAGAGGGACAAAATATTTTGGCAATAAAAAGGAGCAAAACAAACGGCAATAGAAAAAAGATATATGGTAAACTTTTCAAATTGATCCGAGAGTTTTGAATCATAGGCAATAAAACTGTTTGGATTCAATACACGTAACAAATATTTTGAAAACACAAATGTTCGTTCCACGAGAACCCGAAATATTTGCTTAAAAGCTAATGCCATGTTTACGTTAGAACTTTTTTTGGGTAAACCTACTTTGAGCGGATTTATTTGAAGTAAAAGTAATGGGTATGACAATTTAAAACCAAATCCAGTGGGTTAACCCTCATATATATAAACGTACTATAAGTCCTCCAAATGGTAAAATTAATCTATAGATAGTTTTTTCCAGTCGGAATGACAAAATTATACTATTTTCTATATCATAAAAGAAAAAGCAGTAATCGTAGTAAAAACTTGTACATTCCTGCAGTTCTGGAACAGATCATTAATAAAGCAAGATGCTTTTCCTTGTGTGAACCTACCCTGAAATCAGTTCTTATTCGATGAGATTGATAAATCGTGATATCGTTACCTCATTTCGATTTTCAGATGACTAGTATTTGCCTGCTTATGCAGAAAAAAGCTTGTGTTATTTCACAAAATAAAACTTCAAAACTTACTAAACATCTCTGAGTGTAGCACCAGGTTTTATTAACAATTTCATAAAATTGTTACTATTGATTCTATCACACATTGTTGTGAAATAGTGTGAATAGGAGTACATACAATATAAACATTGAGTTGCGATTAGCATTTTTTCTTTTGTTCGCAATCGATTTTGCCCAAATGAGTAATTTTCATTTGGCTTTTTCGCTATAAATCTATAAATGTGTGCTTGTGAAAGTTTATAGAAAAATATCTAACGAACAAAAAGAGACAGCAAGAGAAAGAAGAAACAAAAATCCAAATATTATTTTGTTGCAATTAATCATGAAATTTGCTTCAACGACGACAATACTCGATAATAATACAACAATAAGCGAAATTAATCTGTCGAGTTTGCAAGAATTTTTCAATATAAAAAGGGACAGCCACAAAATCGAGTCACATCACAAACTGTGTTTGCAAAGACCCTCACCCTCCAACAGAACTGGAGTAGTTCTTAAAAGAAATAAAAAGCAAAAACAACAGCAACATTTGAATAGAAATTTTTCGACGATTAAAAATTGGAAAAATCAAAACTTTTGCAATTGCACGTCTTGATTCTAAACATAATCAGTGAAAAATAATAAGGAATTAATTTGTGTATAAAATTAAGTGCTGAAAACGAAAACCAAAGTGAACTTTTAATTGGCATACCTCCACCACAAAACAAAAAGAAAAAACAGAAACAAAGAAAAACAAATTTAAATACAACCCAAGAGATACCACAAAGTGAAGTAGACAATTGAACCTCGTGCTTTTGCTGTCACTGTTCTTTTTTTGTTCGTGTCAACCAGCCTTTACAAAAAAGCGCGCGCGTGTCTCCCTTTTTCCTGACAAGGAAATAATACATTTGTGTAGAAAACCTAAACCTATAAGAAAGACGGGAGTGCTACACAAACGTCGTCAGTAAGTCGGAATCCCAGAAACATTTCATCCTCCACCACGGAATCCTTATATTCCGTTAAAATTTCAAGAAACCAAGAGAAGTCGAAAGGCAAACAGAAATCAGCCAACAACATGCCACCGCGACGTAATAAGAAAGGAGGAAAAGGTAAGTGAGAGAAATAAATAGGGAGAGTGAGAGCTTGTATTAAGATATATAAAAACATATGTGTGTACATATTTATTACTACTAAACTGTTCCGCGATCTCAAATAATGATAAGTCAACATATATTTTAAATATAATGAAATCTTCGACAAACACGTCGAAGAACGATTGCATCATTCTTTTTTTTTAATCCATGCACAATTTTCCAATTTATTACCTTGTGCCTAAATGTGCGAGCTACATTTGAGGGGGGAGTTGTCATTGAAATGTACCCTATTACAAAATATGTATGTACCTAATCTTGTAATAGTAATGAATGACCATGAATATGTGATAAGGAAATAACACAAACATACTAATTCACACTACTGTTCAAATGTGCTTAGGCGATTTGCCTAAGATGATATGAGATGATATGTGTATCTTTGAAAATGTTCCAATATGAAATTATTATTGTCTTGTTCTTGTACCAAGGGCTGAAGTTTACGCTAGATATATGGAAGGACGCGGAAATTCCTTGACTTTTGAAGACCCAACAATTCAATATGAAGCCCATGAGGTCGGTCCACGGTGAAAATCGTTTCGAAGGAATATTTTAATTCTTACAAGTACACGATATTAGATGGTTTAAAACTTGAAAAGGAAAGAAAAAAAGTGTTTTTTCCTCAGGTATAGGCGGCAAAGCCCATAATGGAACTCGGTTGAAATCCTATATTTACTCAATAATTTGAGCTAGTTGTTACTGGAGGAAACAAAAATTGTTAGTGGAATAAGAATATAAAAAACACTGTTCAATAGCTCACTTTTTAGCTACCGATCTCTTATAGTCGCTGATTCGTGTACAAATACATAAAAAGCTTACTCATGACTACTACCGTAATAATAGTGTTGGCTGGGGCTTTCAAGGTCTTAAATTGTAAACGCTTTTTATGTTTATGCTCTTTAACTTGTTTCTTATAATAAATAACATTTTCTGTTTTAAAACAATTAGTTACTCTGTATGAATGTTTAAGGGGATATTTCTTATTTAGATTTAGAATAAATATTAATTTTAATTTCTTTATGAATGATTTTTCGTCATTCTTAGATTTATTTGGTGTGTTTGTGAACTCATAGACCTAATGTGTTTTTGGTCGTTTAACGATCAGACTCACCGTTGGCGACCTTGAAATGTCTTAAAATAATCAGAGCAACAACATTTTGTGTTGACAAGCTCTCGCACAAACACACTACGTGTTAGCTTCGAATAAAATTAATTTCAATATTTAATGAGAACGCGATTTTAGACAACAAAGAGATAGTAACGAAATAAAAAAAAAACGTAATTCGAATTGGTCTAAAGAAATATGTTTCTTTGTTCAAACTTTATACTAATTTATATTTTATTCAAAATTTGTAACAAATTATTGTTTCTTTTCTCATTACATTACAGGTCGCCAAGGCGATTCTAACTCTGAAGATGAGTCGTTCAATGAGAATGCCTCGGTTTATTCGTACATGTCGGAGAATGGCGGTGCCTCTTCTGTCAACGATTCGGATGAATTGTCTTCCAATGAACGTTATGAGGAGAAATTCATGCAGGCTTTGGAAAACGCCACTGAAAAATCGGCACAAACTCGTGTAATGGCACTGCAAAGCATCTGTGAAATATTGATGCATCGTTATATGCCAGACTTTGTTGATGATCGTAAAGTCACTCTCATCGACTGCATTGAGAAGAGTATTCGACGTGGCAAAGGTTTGGAGCAAGTCTGGGGTGCTAGATTGGCACCCTTGTTGGTTATCCAATTGGGAGGTGATGACGGCATTTCAAAGGCTCTTAATCAGTTTTTGCTTACCACTGTTCAAGACAAGTCAGTGTCATATGATGCCCGAGCAAAATGTTGCACAGCATTGGGTCTTTTGAATTTCTTTGGTGGCGAGGATATAGGTGACGTGGTCACATTGATGCAGTTTTTTGAAGCCATATTTTCTGCTAGTTATCTCAAGGGCGATGACAAGACACCGGTTACGGTCAGCCCTGAAGCCGGGGCTTTACATGCTGAAGCACTGTCAGCCTGGGGTTTATTGCTGACAATGATACCATCTGGAGACTTTGTTTCATGGATGACTGGCGGACAATCAATGTTGCCGTAATTTAATTAAAAATACAAACATGAATGTTTTATATTAAAATTTGTCCACATTAAAAACAGATCTTTCAAGAAGCTGATGGGACTACTGCAATCACCACATTTGGATGTACGCATGGCTGCTGGTGAGACCCTGGCCTTGATACTAGAGTGTGGTCGTTCACATGACGAAGACTTTTTGGAGGAGTACTTAAATGATTTAATTGATGCAGTCAAGCAATTGGCCACAGATTCTCATAAATACAGGGCTAAACGTGATCGCAAAGCCCAGAGAGCAACATTTAGAGACGTGCTACGTTATCTAGAGGTAAGCAAATATTTCCCTTAAAGCGGAAGTTTATTTTCTTAAATTGTTTTTTACACATTTTTGTTTACATATTTTTTGTACAAGTATGAACAAGCTGATGCCGACAATGCTTACCGCTACACTTGCGGTGATCGTGCAAATTATTTTTCATAATGACACATCCAATTTTGTTTATGGTATCCATATATTCTGTAAAGTTTGCTTTTTTCTTGAAAACATCTCCACCTCGCCAATGGGAATTGTTACCCGAGTTAATAAAGCGGTTTGAATCCGCAAATGATATTTTAAATGGCTTATATGCTTTAACACATTGATCGGAACTGTTCATCTGCTTGTTTAATTCCTCCATCACATTAGTTCTGAACTCGGAGCAAGGTTCTTTCTTTGTCAACAATTTTCTAGCATTCAATTTGCTTGTTTCATCTTCCTCTTTAAGAGATTTATATATACCTTCTGGATATTCTTGTATATTACAAAAATCTATTTGATAGGTCGTGTATAAGCGGTTCTCTTCCAGGCGCCTATTTAGCTCATCTTTGGGCATATTTTGCAATCTTTCGTAGAGGTCAGGGTATACAGTTCGCAATATTTTCAAAAAACGATTGGGTTGTTGTTTATTGCAATCATCTTGCTGGTCATTTGCTATGGCCTGAACTTGATCAGGTGCGAACTTTGTTGGTATAATTCGGGGATCAATCAAACGCCCCATGGGAGCTATCCCAGTCCATTCAACTGTTCCGTGCTTTGCAGTAGTATTTTGATCCTTTTCGGTGGTAGTTACACTATCACAAATACATTCCAAATTTTCTCGAGAATTTGTGCGGTTTTCTTTCAGGAAATCATAACGTTTATTGTTAGGTTTTATGAAATCGTGCTGATACGTCGTCAAATGCATTTTAGGGGAATCCAAAAATTTCACAAAAAATTTAAAATACTAATTATAACAAAATAAAATATTAAATTGTAAATATTTTTGATTGTAGATTCAATACAAAGTTGATTTTATATTTACAGTTTATAATTTTCCACAATGTTTATTTTTTTTTAAATAGGAGGATATATCCCCCGAAATAACTATACGTTTCGGTTCTGAGTCATTAGTTTTGGATTCATGGGCTGTACATCTTCAATACTCAGCACTGTGTACAATAATGGGCCCTGGAATGACATCACAACTACAAGAAAATGACTTTATACGTGATATCTTTGGTTTGGGTACTAAAGTCGACACAGCCAATGGTGCTACGAAACTTAAAGCGTCGAAACTTGAGAGAGTAAGTATTACTACTTGAAAACCTATGCATTTTACATTTCTAATCATTGTGTTATTTATTTCAGCACCTTGTAAACGCTGCTGCATTCAAAGCACGCACCATCAGCCGGGGCAAGAATCGTGATAAGCGTTCTGCAGTTTTTACGTAAACGGTTAGACAAGTAATAGCTAGACGATAGCAACATTGCAAAAATTATTATTAAAAAAAATATATCTTTACTCATTCGAAAAATAATTAAAAATTAATTTTAGTTTAAATTTGAATTGGTTTTTTTATTTTTTTTTTTAGTTTCCTGTTGGACTTTTTGTTATATTATTCTATTAAAAACTGAACACTGAATTAATTTTAATAAAACATATATATTGTTCTCAATATAAAACGTAACGTAGTACCGTATAAGCGTATAGATATTTATTGCAAACAGCAAATTATAAGTAGAATAAAACATATTTAAATATAATTGATGTATATAAATCATACAGTCAATGAAAAACACAAAGAAGTTTTTAAGTATTGAAAATATTTGTGAATAAAAATATTTTATAATTTTTATTGCTCACGTCCTCAAAATGAAAAACCACGTAGATCATAAGTTTAGCATAATATTATGGAATGTAAAACAACAAAGATTAAATTTAGCATTAAATATGTGTGGATTGTGCTTTTGAACGTACATGTGTATTGTATTTTCAAAAGTATAAACAAAAATGGAATATTTACTATCTCTCAATTTTGAAAGTCATACCCCATACCGACTTGCTAAGAATTGAGTTTTGATTTTTTAATAAAATATAATTTTAGTTGGTAGTTAAAAATGCGACACCTTAACTGTTTTGTTTTATTTATGCCCAAATAGTAACAAAAATATGTTTCCACAAAACACAAATGAAACACCCTATCTACCTAGCATCTGCGATTCACAATTAAAAATAAAATACGTGAGGAAAAGTTAAATTCTGTAAAATGGAACAAATAATTTGTCGATCTAAGTACATCCCCATAAAAGCGACTAAAACCAACAGGATTTAGCAAATGAAATATTTCGACGCCGACACCGTGGTCACGTTTGGGATGGCATCACTTGTTGTCGACATCTACACTAATTTGGTACTCCATAATTTGTGTCGACTACGACCAACAGAAAAAGGGTGATTGCGTTTAAACTTTTTTAAAAAAAGTAGTAAAATTTAAAAAAAAAATTACTACTTTGAAAATTCCAAAATCTCTTGGTTTACTTTTCCAACCCAATTTCTTAACATACAATTTTTTGATGAGCCGAGCTCAGCTCGGGGCTTTACATGCTGAAGCACTGTCAAGCCAATTGTTTGAACAAAATATTTTCTGTTTTCATTTTGTGGCAAAAAAAAAAAATAAAAAAAAATTATAGATGTGTAGCGAATGAAGAATATGAAACACAGCTTTCGGTATTCAAGGGCGATCTTGTCGAGTAGAAAGATTTTGTAAAGTCTAAAATACCTGTAGGTTAGATCGAACAATAAGGAATGTCCATCATGTTTGATGATATGCTCGATTTTCCAAAAAGGGTTTTACTTTATTGGGAACTTAATCTCGGTCCAAGATACTGCGATGGTGACTATTATAATACCAAGAAATCAATTTGAATCATGTTTAAGGGACGGCTATGGATTATTACCCAACTTCAGTTGTGTTGGCAAAAACTACATTGTTTATTATGTTTTTCCTTTGCTATGAAAGAACAAAATCGACCATAAGGATATTGGCCAATTAAAAAGTGTTCCAGAATAAAATATAAGTGTAAATTACGAAAACACTTTCGAGTAAGCGAGTAGGTCGACTGGCAAAATCAGCATATTGACTATTAAAGAGTGTGCTGTCATAATCCGTTATTAACCAGTATTTCTGTTATAAATTTAAAAGATACCTAGGGCGTCTCATTCCCTGTACGACAAGATCGAAAACAAAAAAATAAAAGATGAAAAAACTGCAGCCAACTTCAGACTGTTGTCATTTCTAAGCCACTCGTCCCAGTGAAATTTTTCCAGAAAAATTATACGTGATGGAATTCAAGCGTGACAGTGTGAATTCTTTATATTTGGCTGGAAACCACAAGTGGCTATCGTTAGAGCACTTCAACATTTAAATGTGAATAAATCTTTTGTGTCTCGTACCATCGCTCGTTACCGTGATACTGGTAGCGTAGCCCGACGTCAAGGAAGTGGACGGAAGAAAACAGCAACATCAACAGAAATGGTTCGAAAAGTAAAGAAGCGACTTGATCAAAACACCCGTCGCAGTGGCCGAAAAATGCCTCATGAGCTGAACATATCGCAATATTCAATTCGCAAAATATTGAAAAATTAGCTCGGGGTAAAGCCATTGAAATTCCAAAAAGTGCAATAATTCAAAAGAGCTAAAAATTTGCTTCGCTTGGCCGAAAGTGGTAAACTGCCGAATTTGGTTTTCTACGATGAGAAAACATTTGTTGTCCAGCAGTTTGTAAACAAACAAAATGATCGTGTTTACTTGCCAAAGAGGTCAGCTGAAAATGTGTACCTTCGGTTGGCCACCAGAACCCAACCGCCGGCCATGGTGATTGGGTGGGCCACCATAACAGCCGATGGTCGCTCTCCGCTCGTATTAATCCACGTGGCATCAGAATAAATGCCGAATATAATCTCGAAAAAATTCTGGAAAAGTAAAGAAGCGACTTTATCGAAACCCGCGTACCAGTGGCCAAAAAAGTGGCTCGTGAGCTGAACATATCGCAATATTCCATTCGGCAAATATTGAAAAATGAGCTCTGGGTAAAGCCATTGAAATTCCAAAAAGTGCAAGAACTTACACCTCAACAGAAAGAAAATAGACTCAAAAGAGCTAAAGAGTTGCTTCGCTTGGCCGAAAGTGGTGAACTGCCGAATTTGGTTTTCTCCAAATAAAATGATCGTGTTTACTTGCCAAAGAGGTCAGCTGAAAATGTGTACCTTCGGTTGGCCACCAGAACCCAACCGCCGGCCATGGTGATTGGGTGGGCCACCATAACAGCCGATGGTCGCTCTCCGCTCGTATTAATCGACGTGGCATCAGAATAAATGCCGAATATAATCTCGAAAAAATTCTGGAGGGTGTATTAAAGCCTTGGGCACGCAAATATTTTGGCCGCAGACCTTGGACATTCCAACAGGGCTCAGCACCATCGCACTCAGCACGCGCACTCAAGAATGATGGCAGAATGAGGTTCCTCACTTCATTTCCAGCGCACAATGGCCACCAAAATCTCCTGATACCAATCCGTTGGTTTACTGTGTCTGGAGTATTTTGGAAAGCAAGGTTGGTACTAAAAAATAAAAAAGTATCGTTTGACTTTGTTGCAGTTTTTTTATCTCACCCTTTATGTGAACATTTTATTTAAAATTGTGCACTTCTTAGGAGAGAGTGGATGTAAAGGACATCATCCATCCTCTCATTCATAAATTTGGTCGTTTGGATTTGTAGTAGTTTGAAGTGAAAAATTAAAAGAAATATTTGGAATATTAATTACAAGCTTTGTCATACTCTATTCAATCTCATAGATACTAGAAAGAGTTCATTGGCTGCACAGTATATTTCACACTGAATTGTTTTCAAAGTGGATGCAAAGGAATACTTTGTCGAAAATTTCATAATAAAATTTGTTGAATACCCACAATTAATTTTGATCCGGCTAGGTCCTCACAACATTCAGAGGATGTTCTAAGTCAAAGTAACTCTATATTTCTTAAAATATTTTTAGTGTGTTATGAAGAGCTACAAGGGAAACACAGACAACATTTTAAATATTTTTAAATTTTATTTTTAAATTTGTATCACAATAATTTATATTTTCTTATATTTAAAATTAATGGGAAATGTTTTTCATCGGGTTTTGTAAATTTGTTTAATCCTACTAGCAAATAGGTTTACTTTATCAATGATATCGTTACCAAAAAAAGTCTTATTGAAATACAAGAGGTTACTTAACTAAATACTTAATTAATATTCGTTTTCTGAATGACATGAATAACTATGAGATATGGGAAAAACACAAAATTTATAACATTCGCAATATTGTTTAATGCTTGTTTCGTACAAACCCTAATTTATATATATCTTTTATGTACTTGCCTAAGTATGAACTGCAAAATATATACTTTTGTGGGATTAGGCTCTATTATTGATATACATATTTGTAAAAAGTAAAAATTGAAAGCTTCCAAAGTTAAGTAATAATTGCATTATTTGATTTAAAATCTCCTTTCATTTTTGGCGATATTGACAAATGTGTGTTTTTTGTTTATTTCAAATGGGAGTGATGGGTGAGAGATGATGTACACGTTTTATCATTTATTAATATTTATTTGGTAGTTGTTATTTTTGAGAGTTTTTCTTGTATACTTTTTAGCATTTTAAGGAAGATTTGTTCTTTAGAGAATTTCTTATTTCTACGAAAGGTGATGATGGACCTACACTACATCTAGACAGATAGAGCACATTACTGCATCAATTGAGCAATATTTAGTATAAACGTGCATTCAACTTTTGTTACTTTTGTTTTTGTATGGACTAAAGTTATTAAGGTAAACATAAAATATGACATGAGTTGTGTATATAAAAGTTTTTAATTAGGCGGTTATTTGAAAAAAACTTTTAATGTAATCAAGGTGATTATCGTGATGTTTGGAAAATATAAAAGACATTCAGATTTTAAAATGTATACAAAGACGAAGACGCAAGATTAACATATACTAAATATATGACATCCGATGTCGTCAGTCACAAACATTTTGTTTAACTGCGTTTTTACGAGGACGAAGAGGGTGTATCGGCCGAGGTGACATCTTCACAGATGGTGTGTAATTTCTCCATTTCGGATTTTGTGACAATATTAATGCTGCTTACTTTGGCACGTTGGTAGGCTACTACGGTGTTTTCGCCCAAACACTTGATGCATACATATCCAATAAGGACGGCAATGCCAACGGTCATAACACGAATCAAGGGATCGACATACATTTGAATAACCACCCAGGCGGAGGCCCCCGCAATACACATTAGAGTTATTAAAATTACCGTTTTTGACCAGTGTTGTATGGTGAAACCTTTTTCCCAATCGAGTCTAATGCAAAAAAATAATCGCAATTAATTGTTTGGCATGGCATGGCAAAAAGCTAATGAAAATTTAAACTTACTTCTTGGATTTCTCTATTTCATAGGGAAAACCACACACTTTACACGATAGCTGAGCTTCGGAAGCACTACAACTTTCGACTAGCCAACGTTTCAGGCATTCATGGTGCACTGAGGAAACATCTCCGGTACAACGGCAGGGCTGAATAAGTGGTTCTGGCTTATCGCTGTCATAGCATATCCAGCAATCTTTCTTGTTTAGAAAAGATTGACCCTCCTCGGGCGAAAGATTTTTCGTTTCCGCTGACATTGTAGGTATCGACGGATCAATTTGGCGAGATATCAGTTTGCGAGGGTTTAAAATCCATAATTGTTCGGGAGCCATGGAATTCCACAGACAACAGGGGAACCATAAAGCAACACCAATTTCTACAATGCGAAAGACTATGTCATGCCAGTTTCTCGAATACACTGGGACTCTGCATAGGCAAATAAAAGGTCATAAAAAAAGCCCAAAACAAAAAAATGGTTTAAATATTTACTTTGTTTTCCAAAAATCTCCTAAGGTCTCAGACGTCAAAAATCCCACAATAACAATTAGCATAATGGCTTGTGATAAAAGACCCAAGCGAGACTGATGCAATTGAGATGCGTTGACAATGGCTTCACTAGGACCCAAAATCTTTCCCGTCTGGTCGTACACAAAACCACCACGAAGCTTGAAGAATACCTCCACACCATAGATAAGAAAGAAGACCACAACTATCAGCAGCAATGCAGCATAACAACCATTGAATATATGGGCATATGTTTGACGCTTCGAATTGATGAGAGATGAAAACACTTCTACACCAAATAGACTGTACAGCAGGAAATTGAAGGCTATAAATCCCAGAAAGCTTTTCGACAGAAATTGTGATTTCTCCCAGCGAATATCACGCAAATGGAAAATCTGAAAATTAGGAGACAGTTGATTAATTCGATTACAGGACAGGACTTAAAACATTTAACCGTAACGGGCAGCAATCCCCTACGAACACTATATGATTGTTATTTAAAAATGATTTAGCCATACCTGTTTGGCGTCTTGAAATACTACGCTTGTGGTATTTACTAATACCAAATAATAATAAAATATTAATTAGCCAAAAAGAAGTGATTAGATTACAGCAATGGTGAATTTTAAATATGATATGCCCACGGAGTGTGTATTATATATTTGATATCCATGTATGTACATACACAAAATATTTTTCAATAACTTCAGGTGCAATAGCACTTGAATACGTTTTTAGAACAAATAGAAACAAATTGCATTTCCTTCCTTAGTGAAAGCGAAAACTCTTGGAAAACTTATGGGTACATGTCAACGACATATAACAAATTACCAGCGACATCATTGATTGCCAATAAAAATAAAAAAAATCATGTACACATTAATAACAGAAAAGTCAATAAGTACAATAGCACTTGGACGAATACAAAACGTCCAACTGATAAACAAAAATTAAGCAACGACTTATATATGACAATGGACATAGGCGATACTTTGTGGACAAAAAGATATGTAATGGTCGATAAAAGACCGCGCCACAAATACCAGTATATGGAATTATTCATATTTTTTAATATTTATATCAATGGTTTTTAATATCTCTCTGAACTTACCTCAGCCCACATACAAACAATCAATGAAGCACAGGACATCAACAGGGGATAGTACGCCGACATTAGGGTCACTGCCCATTGGGGCTGCAAATCCAACTGTAAAATAAGAGAGGAAAGCAAGCGTCCTATTAATTGTGAAACCTTTGAAAGTAATTGCAAAATACATGTACATACCGGTGTTGTAAAATATGCACCCCGCAAAGACGCCGCCACGAAAACCATGAAATACAACATTTTCTGTGTGGTTATACGACATGCTCTTAATACCGATGGCTGTTTCAACCGTTGGTATTCCGCTACAATACATATGAACAATTGTATAACAGAGACCAATGCCACAAAATAGAATACACCCGATATGCCGGCATAGTAGGGCAAATTGAATCCGCTACACTCATCACCTGCATAGCGAATTTCACATAGGCATGTGCCATTCAAGCAGTCACCTCTGCCGGAACAAGTGGCCGAATTGAGATCGTCATGTTTATTGGTGAACGGTTGTGGTACCCCATTGCTGGATGTACCAGCGGTAGTTTGATGCTGTAGTACGCTCGTAGAGCACCTCATTAAGTTGTGAAAGCTAGGTAACATGCTCTATGAGGAAAATTGCCTGAAAATATACAAATTTAAATATCTATTAATATGTTTATAATATGATTGCTAAGGCGAAAGAGTTATTGTTAACATGCCAAAATAGTAATATGTTATTTTTTCATTGTCAAATTTTAACGATGAAAACAAAATTAAGTATACACATCAGAAATTCATAGCAGTTAAATAATAATACATATTTGAGGCGTTTTCATATTCAATATTTTTGGTATATGTATTTGGCACAACTAAAGAAAATATGTTATATTTTTTTAAAATCCACCCTAATATAATTATCATTCACCGGTGACTAACCCATTAACAGAAGGTTCCTATACACATTGTACTACAGAAATTAAGTACGCCTTTTTAAAATCCACCCTAATATAATTATCATTCACCGGTGACTAACCCATTAACAGAAGGTTCCTATACACATTGTACTACAGAAATTAAGTACGCCATGCATGACAATTAATATTGATAAAACACTATACGCTTTACAATATTCTCAATTTCATTCTTTATATAGTAACACACACACACACAGGCTCTTGAAGTGTTATGAGTTGTATGTGTGTACGATTCCATCATCTTCGAAGAGTGGGGCTTGCCTTTAACTAATATGCAAGTTATGGAATATTCATGTCAAAATTCGCAAATTAAAACATCTGTTATATTTTAATTAATAATAATTAATTTTAAGTGTAATAATGGTACAGTAAAAATTGTTTATTTCCTATGACTTTCGTTATAGAATGCTAAAAATGCAAAATTTTTAATGCCAATTCTATAATACAACATAAAGTGGAAAGTTAATAAAAAAGTATAGAGCGACGGCACAAAAAAACTAAATTAAAATCAACCAGGAAAGAAAGACCAAAATCGAGAAGGCCGACTATATGATACCCTACACCATTATGCATATTTAGTAGGGTTACCCGTAACAAATGAACTTTTATAATAGGAATTTATGTGAAGTAGATCATACCGACGATGAATGTGTATGATGGCTTTAGAGCGAAGAGAGAAAACTAATATAGGGAAGGAACATCCAACTCTGAGTCGATTTCTACCAATTTTGACGGAGACATTTGTACCTATCATACCAAATAGCATTGATATATAGTTAATGATATAACTTCAGGAAGGATTATATTAAAAAAAATATGTATCGATACATGGGAACCGAGTTTCACCAAATACTACATATTTGGTGTACAGGGTGAGATAAAAAAAACTGCAACCAACTTCAGACTGCTGTCATTTCTAAGCCAATAGTACGACAGTTGTTAAAATTCTTCCAGTGACAGCTCATTATATTGTTTACAAGCGTACAAAAGCATTTTGGTGGGAATTTTTCAGAAAAAAAGTTATTCGTAATGGAATTCAATCGTGATTGTATGATTTCTTCATATTTGGCTTGAAAACCACAAGTGGGTATCGCATTTAAATGTGAATAAATCTTTTGTGTCTCGTACCATCGTTCTTTACCGTGATACTGGTAGCGTAACCCTACGTCAAGGAAGTTCACGGAAGAAAACAGCAACATCAGCAGAAATGGTTCGAAAAGTAAAGAAGCGACTTGATCGAAACCCGCGTCGCATTGGCCGAAAAATGGCTCGTGAGCGGAAAATTTCACAATATTCTATTCGACAAATATTGAAATATGAGCTCGGGGTCCTTTGGACTATTGTGCCTGGAGTATTTTGGAAAGCAAGGTTGTCACTAAAAATACCAAAGTTTCGATCACCTCAAGCAAGCGCTTCGCCGGAATGGGCCAAAATACCGCAGAGCAGTGTGTGACGGTTTCATTGGCCGTTTGAAGGCCATAATTCGTGCTAAAGGTGACCCATTCGAACAAATCTAAACTTATTCTAAAATTTGATGCTATTTCTGACATTTTTGCTTTCATTCAATAAAATTTAAAAAATATGGAGTTTGACTTTGTTGCAGCTTTTTTTTATCTCTTTATGTACTATAACCCCGAAATTGGGTCGGAAACATATTATACATAGGAGATATATTTATATCTGAGCCGATTTTCACCAAGTTTGAAGTACTTGTTTCTAGGCAGAGTTCGATGGGATGTGCCAAAATACATTATAATTGGACGAATATTACACATATGACGTAGAATAATCGGGCGTAGATTTCAATAGGGTTCGTTCTGGTCCAAACAATTTTTTTCTGAAAAATAAACTATGAACCGTTCCTTCTTCATTATACAAGCAAGCAATAAAAATCCAGACAGTAAATATTCCATTTCTGTCTATTTATTTGTATTCCTTTTCCCCTTTTTCTACCTCTCCAACTAATTAGTCACCAACTACTACATTATAGAGAAGGTCCACTGTATTATAAATCAATTATTGAATATAGGCATCACGTACATTGCATTATAACAAAAATGGAGATAACTCAATAGGAAATAAAAAATACGATTTCAAGAATAATGTCATTCATCGAAACGTATATATATATAGTAGATTTATTAAGAAATTTCAATTACAAATCGTAAACAAAGAACATATGTGCGTCTGTGAAATTCATTAAGCAGATACAGGTGTCTTCTATTTATTTCAGTTAAAGCTATATTGGTATATAATGATCTCCATAGATTTGGAAACAAATTCAACTTAAGGAATTATCTCAAATGGTTGTCTAGGATATATCAGAAATGGTCAAGAACAAATCCAGTAGAGGAGGACAAGCCGCAGGTGTTTGGGTGATTTGTTTAATATAGATTTGATTTTCCACTCAGTGATAAGAACAAATTGTTTCACAGTTTTGGTGAAACAAAGTATTCAATTTCAAAAGTGTTTTATATTATCATTCGAAAATCGATATTGTTGACATACTAACAAAATACTAGAAAAGTCTCAAGCAATAAACGTCGAATATATTTAATTTGAGATTGATTTTAATTTAAAATTTCTCAATAACAATTTAAAAGAACTAAAAAGCCTTGCTATGGAAAATTTAATTTTGCAACGGAGTTTGCTTTTTCTCCAGAGCAGCACAAGTTAGAATATATCTTAGGTATTTATTTAATGTCGCAGTTTAAAGCCAACGTATATTTTTGTTTTCAACACATGTCTTCATTTGTTCTGGAATACTTTGATAGTAAATAATCCACAATCAGAAAATTACCTCATTTTTAAAATCTGTTTTGGTACGCTATGTCAAAGGTTTTTGACGTTCGTTTTTATTTTTGTTATCGCTTCTTTTTCGAAAACATTAATTATGGAAGAAATTTTAAATATTTTAAAAGACAACGTCCAGCGATATTCACTTTGGTTTCGTGTTCGATTTTCACGAGTTTACTTTAACTTTTATTCACTTGATGTTTAATCGAAAAACAAACATAGAAATGTCAAATGAGAAATAGGCAATTTATACAAACAGTTTTGCCAGCACATTGACACTTTGAAAACAACAATAGTAATTTGTTATATTAAATTAATAAACAAATAACCAGCGCTCTGCGAAAATTGTAAACTTTTTTTTTTGATTTTTTGCATTCATTCACATGACTTGGTTAACATTTTTCATAAACTTCGAGTTTTTTACTTAATACAATTGTGTTCCGTTTTTCCTTTAAAACAAGCTAAAACTTTGATAAGATAGCAGATAGTGGGACACACATTCACATGTACATATACAAATTTTAATAAATATTGCGGGAACAATTGTCCACAAAACGCTCACACATTCCCAATAAATGTTTGTACTCTGCTTACTTTTTAATTCGAAAATTTCACAATTCCATTTATTGAAAATAGAAATTTCCGCTATTACATTAAACACATTTTAGCTTCGAACAAATATATGTATGTTTACTAGCGAAAATTTTATGTCGTTTTGTTTGCGTCGATATGCTGCCTATGGATTGCTCAGCAAGACTACCATAGCCCGTTGCTGTGTTTAGTACAAACGTTACGAATGGCCATGGGTTTGTCGAGAACTCAATACTATCGAATACATTTAGACGTTCTCTTAAAATACTAACTGAAATACTCTTAATGCTATGACATAGCACCCGTCATGTCGAACAATGAACACTTGACGAATCATTCACCTCTTTGTAAGTGTAGACAAAGTGAACATTATGTGAATATTAAAGAATAGATAAATATATGTAAACGATCGAAAGTAAGAACATAATATGATTGTAATGTTTTTAGCTCTTTTAGTGCAGGAGGCTTGATATCCGAAAACTACAATGGTAACTTGAAAACGTATAAGAATTAAAAAAACAGAAAGGGAATAAATCAGCTGAACTGACTATATGGAGGACTACATCACTCAGGATGGTGGATCATTGTCGTAACAGATATATGAGAAATGGGAAGCAACAAACCTATCGTACTGGGCGATTTGGAATACGCAAACATAACATGGTTAATGTAATGCAGTATAATCGATGTAACAATCCTAATTCGATATAGGTAGGTACAAGAGTAAACATGAGGAAGTAAAAATATTAACAACTAAAACAATCCTCGAAGGGAATACAGGGTGTGATGAAAAAACTGCAACCAACTTCAGACTACTCGTCTAACAGCTGTTAAACTTATTCCAGTGACAGCTCATTATATTGTTTACAAGTGTACAAAAGCATTTTGGTGAGAATTTTGCAGAAAAAAGTTATTTGTGATGGAATTCAAGCGTGATTTCTTTATATTTGGCTGGAAAACCCAAAGTGGCTATCGTTAAAGCACTCCAGCATTTAAGTGTGAATAAATCTTTTATGTCTCGTACCATCGCTCGATACAGTGATATTGGTAGCGTAGCCCGACGTTAAGAAAGTGAACGGAAGAAAACAGCAACATCAGCAGAAATGGTTCGATGTGCACCTTCGTTTGGCCACCAGAACTCGAGCGCCGGCCATGGTGATGGTGTGGGCCGCCATAACAGCCGTGGTATCAGAATAAATGCCGAATATAATCGCGAAAATATTCTGGAGGGTGTATTAAAGCCTTGGGCACGCAAACATTTTGGCCGCAGACCTTGGATATTCTCAGCACGCGCCACCCAAGAATGGTTACAAAATGAGGCTCCTCGCTTCATTTCAAGCGTACAATGGCCACCAAAATCTCCGGATACCAATCCGTTGAATTATTTTGTCTGGAGTACCTTGGAAAGCGTGTTACGGTTTCATTGGCCATTTGAAGGCCATAATTCGTGCCAAAGGTGACCAATCTAAACAACAAATGAAATTTGCTATTTTCGACATTTTTTGGCTTTCATTCAAAAAAATTTAAAAAACAATGTAAAATTTATGGAGTTTGGTGTTGCAGTTTTTATCTCGCCCTACCGAGTTCACCTATTCTATGCACCAAACACGATACGTGTGTCCGATTCCTATGAAATTCGGCATGAGTGACTAGATGTTGGTACAAAAATAAATTTGTCAAATTATATTGAAATCGGTTGAGGTTTGGTTATACCTCCCATGTATATTTTCGGCCGATTTCGTATATTTGATGCGCCAAATACGCAATGTTTCTCCAATTTCAATGAAATATGCAAGGTGTGACGGAATTTGGTTTAAAAATAAATTTTGTCAAATTATATTGAAATAGGTTCAGATTGGGATATAATTTTATTAAGAAGCTGACCCACAACGCCTTTGCAATGTTATTAGGCTAAGAGTAAAGAACTACCAACAATTTAATTGAGGATACGATTATTACAGGGAAGTATGTTGCTACCTCGAATTCTCTAATAGCAACAAAAATGCCACTCAACTTAAAAAAATTAATAAATCCGAAGCAGAAACAGCTGACCACGAGAAAAGCAGGAACATGCCAAATTAGTCCATATACACGAAGAGTTTAAATATGGACTAAATTTGGTATGTTCCTGCTTTTCTCGTGGTCAGCTGCTCCTGACATGTTCACGCGTTGGTAGACAAAGCGATTTGTTTGTTTACGCTTTAAAATATTACAATAAATAAAATTACAATGGGGAGAGAATTATATAATTAATGTGCAATCTAAAATGATTTTACAATACGTAATGTATTCTAAGGAACAAAATTGCAATATATCAGCAGTTTAATTGATCAACAGAAACAAATTAGGCAGATTGAATGCTTCTACTAAATCCTATATTTTGAAAATCATCTAGACTGAAGTACCCACATAATCAATATGCGGTAGAAATGGTAATCTCTAATTTAAAATTTTGCTCAGATCCGAGTGTTGTTGTAAGGGTTTTTGTTTAATCCAGGTTTCTTATATTTGAAGTTGACTGATTATGGCACCTGTACAGGAAAATATGGAAGCACCACATTAATAAATTATTAAATCACAAGATTAACCTCACATAAAAAATGTTCACCTGACTATCCTGCTCAATCGTCGTTTATTAAATGATTAATTTGTTGCAGAGGATCTACAGAAAAATTTATGTTTATGAGCTCAACAAAAATTGAGAAAATGGCGTGCTCAAGAACCTTTCACTTCTCTATAAAAAATCCTTCATGCAAATACAAGAAAAATATAGAATTTAACTGTTTTAAATGAATGTTGATATCATTGCGTATGTAGATTATCTTGCAGTCTAATAAATTACAGTTAACATCTGCCGCGAAAATAATTAAAAATACTTCTAGCAAATATACCCTAGGGCATTTCAATAACAATAGACAATACTTTTATAACCAATTAAGCAACACAAAAACATGCATTTAGGTTATATTTGAACTAGACTAAAAAAAAAACAATTATACTCACAAGTTATTCTTCGGAGGCAAATGAATAAACATGTGCACACCCCTTTTTGACGTATTCTCAAAAATAATAAAACTGGTAGGTACTTATCACCAAAACACAAACATTATTGAAAGTCATTTAATTTCACTGAAATTGTTTTTTTTTTTTTGGCAATTTTACTATTACAAAAGTTTATAAGTTTGTAGTTGGATGAAACACAGGTACTGTCTGTGTTATTCATACGCCCACAAAATGAAGTCTAATCGAATATTTACTACGTACATTTGCACATTGGGTATCTATGAATAAATGAGGGAAACCTTATAATTACATAGAAAAATTACTGTGGAATTGTTTGTAAGAATTTAAATTTTACAGGAATTTGAAAAAGTCTTTAAGAAAGCAAATATTGAAAACTTTAAATGCACTTGACCCTTCAAGTCTTTTTTTTTTAAGAAGACTTGTTGCCTTACAAATTATAGTTGTTTTCTACAATTGAAAATATAAATATGTTTCATAAACGTTAACTGCGGGCTACTCAAACTAGGTTCTGGAATAAGTTCTTTCATCTTAAATAAGAGTAGGACATCTTAAAAATCTTGTTTTTGAACAAAACTGACTACCTCTACAAGGTAAAAAGCTTTCAAAATACAAGTTCTCTGCAACTCTTTGTAAGATCGGAGTTTGCAGTGCATTATATGATTGTATGCAGTGCTTCATTGCTATGTCGAAGAAAGCAAACTGCAAAAGCCAACACACGTTTATATTTAAACTGTAACCACATATGACGAGCAAATGTGACGCGAGTTTGCTGAAACTAATTTGGGGTCCAAGTGCTTTGTGAGTACATTGTCGGTGCATATGTACCCAGATAATAATAAAAAAATATATACGGTTGTTGTTTGTTGCTTGTACTGAATTTTTATCTTCGTAATTGTGACTGCGTCGTTGAACATTAATGATATTTAGATATATAATTTGTTAATATTGTCAAATGATGGAAGTTTTTATTTGTTAAAAAAATAGGGATTCAATAAAGGACTGTGGAAATGACCACTGAAAACAAAAGGAAAAGGAATAAAAACCTAAAAAATTAAAAAAAAATAATTGGCTTAACTCTAGTTTAGCAAAAACTCTTCATTTTCCATGTAGAGGTAGTTATTTTTACCCTGATTCCGAAGAGTTTTTACTAAACTAAAGTTGTTCCAAATAATATTTTGTCAACTTATAGAGTATTTTCAATGGACAGTAAAATACATGATATTAAATATTTAGAACAAGGACGAATTCGTGCATGCAATAGTATTGGTTCGCTGAATGCAGATGACATATTTTTTTTAAATGATAGATACTTTAAATTTCATAAAACAAAATGATATTTAATTACCTTAGATGCACTTTACAAATAATAAGCAAAACAAGCTGGTAATAATACAAACAAAAGGTGGGATAACAAATTCGATTGATGGACGATTAGTATGTATTTTCTTTTTGACCAATGCAAATTTCACCAATTGCCCTCTCTAACTGGGCCATCTAAAATCGGGCGAGCAAACATTTGTTTTTTCTTGTTATTTTGACGCAAAAACAAAACAATAACGAATATTCTACACAAATAATTTTCCACGAATTATGTATTATTTAGCTTGTTATTTTTTCGCATCTATTATTTAGCTGCTTTGTTTCGTATATATATTATTCAGCCACCACTTCACGTCACAGAATATTTGTTCTGTATCTAGCTAAAATATAACGAAATATCACTTTTATTTTTCTCGCGATGGAAATGTTTTTTTTGCAAATGCTTTTGACGTGTTTTTTTAATTTTTGATTATGATTTTTCTAGTTTTAGACAAAAATTATGTACTTTTTTCCTATTATTGATGACACACGACACAACTAACTAGGGATCTATAAATCGATATACAACTGAATTTGTTTGACAACCAGGGATCTAAAATAAAGCATTGCACAAGTTGATTATTCGTTGAATTTCAAACCAATATGTTTACACAATTGACCAATCACAAAAAAATTTAAATAATGTTATCGAAAAAATAGCTGAGCTAGTAGATTTTTGCAGGTTCTGGAACAGAGCAATTGTTATTTATATTTTTGTATACAGAAAAACAAATAAATTGCGACCACGTGCAATGTATTGCAATTTCCTTTCTCCTACAAAATGAGACCTGCCATAAGATAACTTAAATAAATAAAAAAACTTTAGATAAATTTTTAAACATTTTAATAAATTATTTAATTTTTTCGTTTACTCATTTTTATAGACTTCTCCCAACAACAACTTTTTCAACAAGAGAATTCTACGGAGGATCCATGGTAGAAAAATACAGGTAGATGCATCAACTATTGGAATCTTTTATATGTCAAAATTTTTAATTTTTTTTAAGAAGGTTTTTATAAGTTTTGTTATACGACACTAATCTGAGGTTATAATGTGCATGTTTTACAAATTTGAATAATTATTCATTCAATTTTTTAAATTTAATTTAGTAGGTTTGACAGTTCATTGCCCCAAGAACTGGGTCGATGCGACCGCCTGTATTCTTCTATCATGCGAGGGCCTTATTAAATAGGCGTTGGTCCCATTCTGCCTACCATGCCGTTGTCTCGTTTTTTTTTTTTTTTTTTTTTTTTTTTTTGTTAATAAGAAGAAAATTAATTTGGTTACAAAATCCACAAAATCCTACAGCTTGTTAAAATAAAAACTCCTGGAGATTAAAAAGGAAATCTTCACGTAAAATATCCTTAATTGTGCCTAACAATGTAAAACACTGTGTTTATCATATCATTAGGATAGCTTTTCTCCTCCTTCATCAATATTAATATTGTTACATGGGAGACTTGGTAGGTTCTGGAAGCAATCTCACATTTTTTCAACATTGAAACCTTGGTAGATTCTGGAAGCAATCTCACATTTTTTCAACATTGAAAAATTGAAATAATGCATACTACACTTTATTCAACCTTCTGTTCCAAAACCTGCAAAAATGTACTAGATTTGCAATCGGAGAATCGATTATGGTGGTAACAGTAAAATTTTAGAATTCTTCCTGTTTCTGGAGCATATCATATTTTTTCTTTGGATAAATTGTAAATGTGAATCAAGATTTATGTGAAAACACTACATTTTATATGTTGTTGCTTAAATACTGAAGACCACTTGTGTGATTTCGAGCCTATCTGTTGATATTTTTTAATTATTTCTGGAAAAATGCCGTCCATTTTGTATAATAAATTAAATATTCATCAGAATTACAGATTATGCAATTATTGTCTTTGAAAATACTGATGTACTTAATCGCCCCTTATAAACCAAAAGACTAAAAATAATTTGTTTAAAATTACTATAAATATCGATTATGGTAGTAACATTTTTAGATTCTTTCTAATTCTGGAATATATCCTTTTTCTTTGGACAAATTACAAATAGGAATCAAGATTTATTTGAAAACCTTACATTGTATACGTAGTTGTTTAAATACAGAAGGTCACTTCCGTGATTTCAAGCCTATATTTTATTTATTTCTCAAAAAAATGACGCGCTATTTGTATAACAAATTAAATATTTTATCAGGATTACAAATGATTCCATTATTATGGTTTATTAGCCCATTCGTTCGATATTGTTATCTACAATACAAAACGGCCGCCCAAATTCAATTGTGAACATATAAATGTTCTGCAGTTCTATTTACAAGTCATATTTTATTCATCACCCCCTATAATCCAAATAATAAAAAAACATTTGTTTTAAATTACTATAAAACGTCGGTTTTATTTACACATGATCACACCAATTTAGAAATTCCTGAAAAGTAATAAGAAAATGAATATGGTAAAATAAGTTCAACACTTCTTCGCGCTCCGTCTCAACTTACTTGGTGATCAAACCGTCTTTCTTGGCCAAACGGACAATGCAGTCATCGGATTCACCCATACGACGGATTTCACCGCAGATAGCATAGGTCTTGGAGCCATCGGTCATGCGTCCGGTTTCGGGGTCAACATCGACAATGTTGATTTGGACGGAAGCGTGATCCTTGGCGTGGATGATTCTGTTGGAAGCAGAACTGTAAAGGCATATCACCAATATTAGAAATTTGCACTTCCAAAAAAAATTTATTTCCAATAGGCGATGGCAGCTAGGTGCCGTAGAAACACGTGTTAAACTTACCATTTGCGGGGCACGTACAAATCAACATTCTCACCGGCGTCGTTCTCCATTGTGCTTAACTGCAATAATTTGTTTTCGGTTAATATTCATTGTTTACACCTGTGGTACATGATTTGTTGTATTTTCATTGATTTTAACTTACTTTTTTTAGAAATTAAAAAATTTGCGGACACTCTTTTATGGAGTTAAAAAAGAAAAGAAATCATCTGGGGTTGGTACCACTGATGGTTGCTTTTGCAAGTAACCGTTATGCGGGTGTTTCTGGTATTCGATAACAATGAATTTGTTGCATCGTTCACTATTGTGATTTATTGATTTTTTAACAGATGTTAAAATTTTCATAATTTCAATTTTATATATTTATTATAAAAATATACGAGGAAATTGACTGGAGAACATATTAATGCAAATAGTGAGATGAATTGTAAATAATTGATTGAATTTTTTGTTAAATTCTATGAAACTTTAACTTTGAAAAGATTGCAAGTATAGAGGTCTACCTTTTTGGCATTATTTTTAAACAAATGATACCAACAACAATATTTCACCACAAAAGTTGTAGAAAAGCCCGACTTTGAATTTTTTCAGAGCAATTTTTTATATATATTTTTTTTTAAATAAAAAAAAAAAAATAAAATTATATGGTATCATAGCCCTACCTTGATATTATTATACCATGTATCCTGACTAACGATAATTGCTGCGACCCAGAACCTGCAAGAATCTACTATTTTTGACATTTTTTCGATATCACAAAGGGAAATCCGTTATCGTAGTAAAAACGTCTTGCAGTTCTGGGACAGACCAAATGTACCAATTAATGTTTGTTTTCCAATGATCACTTTTAACCCGCATAAACATTTGTATGTAGATGCATATTAAATGTCACTTATTCCTCTCTTTTTAAAAACTCAATTTTGTCCGACAAATTCTATTGATATTTTTCGAATTCAGATGATATTACCGTTTACCATGGCCTACATAACGTTGGTCAGTAAGTCCATCTGACTACTAAGTTTGCCGTCAAAAGTCATATTGTGTTTTGAAATTCAAAGAAAGTCAAATCTCAATAGTGCAAAAATTTCTAAGTTTATTGTCAAATTGTTGTCAAAAGTAGTCTTCGTCATGATAGAATGATATCAAGGTAGGGCTATGATACCATATGATTTCAATTTTTTTTATTTTCTTGGCTTAATATGTCATCTTTATTTGTTTATGTATGTGTTTTCTTTTCAATAACAAAAAAATTGTTCAGAAAACATTCAAATTCGGATGTTTTCAAAATGTTTATTTCATCGTATGCATCGAAAAAATCTAGAGTTTTTGTAGCGAAATAATCCTTTAGAGATATATAGAACCTGGTTTTAAAAAGAAGTGTTGACCTTTCATTCAGTTTTCGCGGTTTTCAATTATTTATTCAAAATAAATGCAACAAGTTGTTTGATTTTTTATTGTTTTGATACTAATTCTGACATTACAAGCCAAACAGGTAGATCTCTATACTTGAAATTTTTTCAAAGTTGACCTACCTTCTCTTCATTGTACCATGGTCTTCGTTGCCGAACTTATGTAGGCCTTTTATATATAGGTACTTTCCATGGTAGAAGAATATAGGTAGACGCATCGACGCAGATCCTGGGACAATGAACTGTCAAACTAATTTTGGAATTAAAAATGTTGAATGAAAAATTATTTAAATTTGTAAAAATTGTTGAAAAATGAATATTTTTACAACCCACGATTTGTGTCGTATAAGAAAACATATAAAAATCTACTTATATTTGAAAAGAAATTTTAAAATTTTTGACATATCAAAGATCCCAAGCGTTGATGCATCCACCTGTATTTTTCTACCATGGTACTTTTACAATAAAACAAAATGGTAATTTTATCAGAAACCTGCAGTGCGATTTTGTAACCCATTTCTGATATTATGCCATTTTTTATCAATAGCTGCTCTGTTCCAGTACCAGCAAAATTCAACGAGTTTTGCAATTGGTTTCGATATCATAAAGAGAAAATGGGTTATGATATTAAACAGTTTTTACATTCTTGCAGTTCTGAAACAAACATTCATACCGTTATTCAGAAAACGAATAACGTTGTTCAAATACTAATGTGGACATGGTATTAAATAATTTATTCAAAGTTATCGATAACAGAAAGAATTATCCATCGCATTGTGAATGACAGATTGAATTGTTGAACAATCTCCAAAAGAATGTAATCTGTCAGAAGTGATTTGTTTGTTTCATAGTGTTAACATAAAAAAAGATTGTGCCTAAAAGTATGCAACGTTATGGAGAAAAGGTGAATATAAAACAGTTGAAGCTGATTTCCTTCGATACAAAAAAGGGAAAAGGTTTTCAAAAAAATTAAAATGAGACATGTCCATAAATCAGAAAAAAACTCCTTTTATTTATTGATTTTTTTTTGTGAAGTTATGAAACTTGCCTTTTTAACCGGAGTCATAGAACTTTAATTGGAGTGTTACATATGTTTTGTGGTATGTCATTGTGTGCAAGAGAATTTCATTGGAACACACACAAACACACGTGAAACCAAGGCAATATATTTTGTGGAAAATGCTGAATTGCTTCTTTTTTTGTTAGTTCTGTACATCCGCAATGAAGTTTTATGTGTGTCTGGTCATGTCTGATTTAAGGTTTATAAATTGTATATACTGACTTACATATGTATGTACACGATTGAGGTTTTTCCCCTTTCAGGTTGTGAACCCTACCATTCAGTTCTATTTGTAAAAATGTACACTACCACCCACCCATAATGCATATCATGTTGAGAAAAAAAGTGAACATTCAAAGGACTTGCTTCGTTGAATGGGGGTGAGGTGAATGTTACGTTGATTTGTTGGCTCGCGAACAATTCATTGAACTGCGTTTATAGTCCTTTCAGTTGTCTTTGTGTATTTATAAATATATTTTTAAATGTAGTGTGAAACACAGAATATACACAAATGCACCCACATCTACACAGAAGTTTGTTTTGAGTCGATGTCTTTGAGGTTTCTTGTAAACTGTTGCATGTTTTCTTTTAAAAAAAGGCGGGGGTGGAAGAGTTTTCTGTGTACGTGCCCTTAACTTTTATAAAAGTCTTCTATAATATAAAAATTAAATGTGGATATGCAACCCCGAATATGAGAGCTTAATGAAGTCATAAATTGTAAATAAATGTATATGTATATAAAAACATGTGAATAATGATTGCCACTAATATTAGGCTGTTGTGCTTTACAAAAATTGCTCATATTTAAAATTGAGATCGGATTTTTGTCTATTTTTATACCCCCATCTTGGAAAGGAGAGTATATTAAAATTGTCATTCCGTTTGCAACATCCAAAAATATTCGTCGTAGACCCCATAAAGTATATATATTTATGATCAGCATAAAATTCTAAGATTTGTCTAAAAATTTGTAATTGTAGTTCATAATGGGTTCTAGCTCCGGCGGCGAAACTTTGTATGTACAGTTCGTCCACGCTTTCCAATAGCGCACATATAATGATACCTCCCGAAATACGGTATTTTGATAATCCTAATCACATTTACCCACGAAATTGTTTCAAGTGTGGTATTAAAGAAGATTTGGCAGATGACAATCCTTGAAGTATAAAATTGCCTACATACAGGGTGAGATGAAAAACCAACTTAAGACTGTTGTCTTATCTAAGCTACTCGTCCGACAGCTGTTAAAATTATTCCAGTGACGTACAAAAGCATTTTGGTGAGAATTTTCCAGAAAAAAGTTATTCGTGATGGAATTCAAGCAAAATAGTGTGATTTCTTTATACTTGGCTGGAAAACCACAATTGGCTATCGTTAGGGCACTCCAGCATTTAAATGTGAATAAATCTTTTGTGTCTCGTGCCATCGCTCGTTACCGTGATACTGGTAGCATGGCCCGACGTCAGGGAAGTCAACGGAAGAAAATAGCAACATCAGCAGAAATGGTTCGAAAAGTAAAGAAGCGACTTGATCGAAACCCGCGTCGCAGTGGCCGAAAAATGTCTCGGCAAATATTGAAAAATGAGCTCGGGCTAAAGCCATTGAAATTCCAAAAAGTGCAAGAAGTTATATCGCAACAGAAAGAAAATATGCTCATATGAGCTAAAGAGTTGCTTCCCTAGGCCAAAAGTGGTAAACTGGCGAATTTGGGTTTCTCCGATGAGAAAACAATCGTTGTCCAGCAGTCTGTAAACACAAAATGATCGTGTTTACTTGCCAAAGAGGTCAGATGAAAATATGCACCTTCGGTTGGCCATCAGAACTCAAGCACCGGCCATGTTGATGGTGTGGGCCGCCATAACAGCCGATAGTCAATCTCCGCTCGTATTAATCGACCGTGACATCAGAATAAATGCCGAATATTATCGCGAAAATATTCTGGAGGGTGTATTAAAGCCTTGGGCACGCGCCACGCAAGAATGGTTACAGATGAGGTTCCTCGCTTCATTTCCAGTGCACAATGGCCACCAAAATCTCCGGGTATCAATCCGATGGACTCTTGTGTCTGGAGTATTTTGGAAAGCAAGGTCGGCACTAAAATATACCAAAGTGTCGATCACCTCAAGCAAGCGCTTTGCCGGGAATGGACCAAAATACCGCAGAGCAAAATTCGGGCAGCGTGTGACGGTTTCATTGTCCGTTTGAAGGCCACAATTCGTGGCAAAAGTGACAAATTCGAACAAATCTAAACTTATTCTAAAATTTGATGCTATTTCCGACATTTTTTGCTTTCATTCAAAAAAAAAAAAAAAAAAAAAAAAATTAACAAAAAAATAAAAATTGTGGCCTTTGACTTTGTTGCAGTTTTTTATCTCACCCTATATAGTTTTAGGTATTTCTTTCACCACTTCAAAATTGTCCATTTACGTGTTAAAACAAGTAGAAACACATCAAGTACGGCCTGACCGTTGTTATATAAACATATCCGAATTCAAACGTGTTTTAAAAAACCACAAAGTGTGTGAGTCCGTTGTATGGGGGCCATACTAAAACGGGAAACACTATAGACAATTTGATACTTCAAGGATTGTCACCTACCAAATCTTCTTAAATACCGATTGTGGGTAAATGTGACTAGGATTATTAAAATACCGAATATCGGTGGTTATCGTTATATGTGCGCTATTGGAAAACGTAGACCTAAATATTCAATGTTCTGCCACCAGAGCTAGCCAAGTTTTACACAAATCCGTGGACAAATGTGGCAAAAATCATAAAATTTCCGGAGGGGGCTAAACGAAAGCGTAGATAATGTTGTGCAGCTAGAACCCATTATGACCTACAAACGCAAGTTTTTAGACAAATCCGTGCAAAAATTAGGCGAAAATCTTCAAAACACTGAATATGTGGAGGTACCGTTACATGGGGGATCTACCAAAACATGGTCCTATATATACTATGTTCTGCCACCGGAGCTAGAATCGATTGCGAACTACAAATACTAATTTTTAGGCAAATCCGTGAAAAAAAGTGGCGAAAATCATCAAAATACCGAATATCGGGAGGTACCGTTATATGGCGGTTATTCCAAAACGTGGACCGATATATCTCATTTTCAGTACCAGCCATCCTAGACACAATACATGTTGTTCGGCCAAATTTTGAAGCTCTACGTCAAATAATATGGGCTGTATCGTGACTCCCAGAGACAGACGGACATCGTTAAATCGACTTAGAATTTTATATGGGATCAACGACGAATATTTAGGGATGTTAATAGGGCTTCAAGGTGTAGGGTATAAAAAAGACTAATTGAATTGAGAATTTGTTTCTTAGCGAGTTGGAGGCATTCTTGACAAAAATATTCAATATTGGTCCAGGTTTTGTTGTAGTCCTAAACACCGGTACATTCTCATTTCCAACTTTTTGTCAATTTAAAATTGTGCGAAATTCTTCCTACAAAATTTTACTCATCGACATTGCAAATATATGAATGAACGAACGTACTCATACACATGAATGTATGCATTTTACTACAATTTGTTATGAAAAAACTCACACATCTAAATACTACTAAATCGAACTGTTCACATGAGAAATGCCCAATAGGAAATCGGACTGTTAACTCATTTATGTCAAAATTTGGTTGGTGTTTCCTCTGCATCCACACAGTTCTCGGAGTATGTTTTTCTACCATTGCAAGCAATGTTAAATAAATATTTTATTTTTTATCAATTTCCTTTCGAATTAGAAACATATAATTTATCGATTACGCTCGTTAGGACACTCTCAAAACATACCAGTTTGTATGCTTCTCTCTGCCGGGTAGCACAGCAAAACAATGTCATAATCAAGAGAAATAACATAGCTGATAGTAAAAACCCAGTCACAACACAGTTCGTCCACAGAGAGCTCGCGTCTGCTATGTTAGTTGCATTTTAGCGGCGAACGCTTCACAACGCGCTTCGTCTAGTACACGTTTTCGTTTCTCGGGCGGCAAAAAGGTGTTTGCTCATCAACAACTTATCTAATGAATGGCAAACAGAACAGTGTGCTTTAGAAACAAAATATAAACAAAAGCCAAGAATTGTTATTGTTTTTTTTATTAACATAATATTGTTAAAAGCTTCTTTTATGCAAATATCCAAAAAAATTGTTTAGCGGAACAATGCGGGAATCTCAATAAATTTGAATAAATTGGAGATTTATATTCAAAATGAAATGTAAATAACCGCTGCGACAAAATTTTGGTATTAATTCTTAATTTGAAAATGATATCATAACTGTGATTTGGGTTATTTTTGAAACGTCTTACTTTGATCAGTTCAATAACAGAGAGCAAAAAAATAAATATAAATATTTCAAATACCTCTAAATAGTGCCATTTACAATTTCCGTAGATAAATAACAAAATAATAATGCAGCAGTCGTGATGTGCTGGAATCGTTAAATTAAAACAACAATGACCCGCTTTGTTTATAGCAACACACACAAACGCAACAACAAAATGCACCAACGAATTGCCACTAATTAATATGCAGTTTTACAACAACAAATTCTAAAAAAATTGCTGAGCCACCAAAGTGCCAGTGTAACCAAGAAATTACCGGTCGCAAATGCTGAACTACCCCATTAAGTGAACTTGGATGTGAAACGACCTTCAATTACACAGTGCCACAGAAATTCCAAATAAAAATAAATATTCTGTCTAAAAATTGTTATTCCAAAGTGCAATTTGTGATTATCTGTTAAATTCCTGGAGAGAAGGGGTTATATAAATTACAAAAACAATCTTTGTGCTGGAAATTTTCAAACTATTGGAAATCGTTTGGTAAAGAGAATGTTGACCGATTGTAAACGAGAAATGCGAAACGCAGACTAAAATATTCAAAGTGCTTTACATCAAGAAGCAACTTTATACACCGTCTTTAACAAATAATATCTGTCTATATTTGAATTCTGTACACTAAAAAGTCAAAATTATAACATACCAGAAATAACAGGCAATTCGATTAAAAAAAGTTTACCTTAAACCGTCAAAGTTTCTAGAATCGTGGGTGGGGGCTTCTAACAGATAGTTCATGATCCTTTTAACAACATTATTTTCAAGAAGGCTGTAACTGACGTCTCGAGTTCTCAATGCGTCTAACACTGAGAACTCGAGACGTCAGTTACAGCCAATTAAAAATTTAAATTTTCAAACCAAAAAAAAGTAAACCAAAAAGTGGGTAAGGCCGGGGGCCATACCAAAACGGTAACTTCTATAGACAATTTTATACTTCAGGGACTGTCATCTACCAAGACTTCTTAAGTACCAAATTTGAAACAATTCCGTGGGTAAATGTGATTAGAATTATTAAAATACCGAATATCGTTATATCCTTATATGTGCGCTATAGGAAAACGTGGATTTAAATATTCAATTTTCTGCCACAGGAGCTGGAACCCATTACGAACTACAAATACGAATTTTTGGACAAATCAGTGAAAAAATGTGGCAAAAATCATCAAAATACCGAATATCGGGAATGTTTCGCCACCGGAGCTAGAACCCATTATGACCTACAATTGCCAATTTTTAGACAAATCCGTTAAGAAATTGGGGCTATACCAAAACGTGGACCGATATATCTCATTTTCAATATCAACCATCCTAGACCTAATACAAACTGTGTTCAACAGAAAGACGGACAGACAAACGTTGGGACATACAGACAGACAGACTTTCTTAAATCGACGTAGAATTTTATGCTGATCATGAATATACTTTATGGGGTCTGCGACGAATATTTAGGGATCTTACAAACGGAATGACAAAGTTAATATACCGTCCTTTTCAAGGTGGTTTTCAAAAAAGGACAGTTGTGTAGATTTCCACAGCTGATCATTTAGACGAGTTGTCAATCACAATACGATTTTGAAAATTTATACTTAACGGTCTACGTTATAGCCCTAGCGGTGTATTGTCATCTCGAGCATCACAATCGTTTGGGAACTTGAACATAATGCGGAAATGCTTAAATTAGGATGGGACATTTAAATGGACGTCATACCAAGAGAGAAGAGAAGAGAAAATGCGGCCAAGACCTTCTAAAATTTTGTGGCAAATTTTTAGGGCCAAAGGATATTTCGAAGAGAGCACCTGGCCTTACTGTGTCATCATGTAAATACACATTGGTTATACCAAACCGGGTATCTAAATTAACAATATTTGCAAGGAGTAGGTTTATAAAATGTCAAAAAAAAGTAAAACATTAAGTTCGGCCGGGCCGATCTTCGAATACCCATCCACAATTTTGAACGAATTTGAAAATTTTCAAAAAAATAAAATCCGTTAAAAATTCTCTTAAAATCTTAAAAATACCGAATATAGCCGTTATATTGGGGTCTATACGAAGACGTGGGCCAGCTTAGGCAACTTTTGTCATAAGCCATTACAACATTTAAATAGCAAATTTAAAAAAAAAAATGGTGTAGCTAAAATCTTCAAGAAATTGAATATAGGGAGGTATCGTCATATCAGGATCGGCATAGACAATTTTCTGTCACAGACTGTAGAAGCTATTAGAAACTCTAAATACCAAATGTCAAACAATTTCGGTGAATATTGTATCTAAAATCGTCAAAATACCGAATACAGGCAGGTACTGATATATGGGGCCTATACGAAGAGCTGAACCAGCATAGACAATTTTCTGTCATAGGCTGCAGTACCCATTACGAATTCTAAATACGAAATTTGAAACAACTCCGGTGAATAATGTCGCTAATATTGTCAAAATACTGAATATTGGGAGTTATCGTAATATGGAGGCAGTACGAAGACCTGGACCTGCATAGAAAATTTTCTGTCATAGACTGTAATACCTATTACGAATTCTAAATACGAAATTTGAAACAACTCCGGTGAATAATGTGCCTAAAATCGTCAAAATATTGAATATCAGGGGGTACCGTTGTATGTGGGCTAGACGATATCGAAGACCTATATAGATTTTTCTCTTCCTGAGGGTTAATTGCTAAGAAAGAACTACTAGTATGAACTTTTAGTCAATTCCATTGAAAAATGTACCTAAAATCATCAAAATATCGAATATAGGGAGGTACGGTAATGTGGGGATATTCGATATTGTGGACCTATATGGACAATACGCTACCAGGGGGTAAAGTACCGAGAAGGAACTCCTTGTGTGGATTTTCAGACAATTTCATTTGGCTACAATCATCAAAATACCGAAAATGGGGGATACCCTTATCGCATCCTCGAACTTAACATGTCTGCAGACAAAATACTGATCTGTGCAAAATTGTCTTTATTCGTTTTGACTCTAGCGTAATTACAACGGACAGACAGGGCTAAATTTAGAATTTTACACTGATCAAGAATATATATACTTTGTTATGTCTAAAATTATTATTTCGATGAGTTACAAACGGAATGACGAACTTAATATACCCATGCCTATGTATGGGGGAGGTATAAAAATGTAACTGTAATTGTTGCACAGTGTTCTGTTCGATAACTTCTGTTCAACAACATTTCAAGAAAACTATTTTCTTCACTTATGTAAATAAAAATCGGACTGAAATAAAGATCAGCTGATGGAAATTACAAATAATGGGAAATATGTAAGTGCTCTCTCACTCAATTGAGAAATGTACTCTCAATTCAGGCTCTTTCACTTGACTTTCAATAAAGGAAGGAACAAAGAGTATCAAAGTCCATAAAACCTTTAATTGTGGCTTAGACTTTTGTATTTTTTTTGTATAAAAATATATTGACGTCACATAAAATGTTGAACCTAGTCATATGTTGTATTGTATCAGTATGGACTAGCTTTTTACCCTCTGAGGTTACTATTTTTAAATGAAGCACAGTGTCTTTCGAACATTTATGTGTATAACTTCCGAAAGCGGTGTCAAAAAAATTATATTTTTGTTATGGGCTTTAGCTTAACTTTCTTCAATGCCACTGTTTTGGAATTATTGCCCATTTGTAATATTTTTAGTTTTTCTGTATTCAAAAATAAAATTGTAAAATATTTTGTTGCTTTTAAAATTCTATCTTTGGAGGCCATATGGCAGCTGGCCAATTGTTGCCAATATTTTGTTTATGTTTTATTTTCTTCTGCTTTTTTGTTTCGAGCAAAGCCAGCAGGGCTATTGTGCATGCGTTATAAATAAACTCAAGTGCTGGTGACCAAAGAAAACAAAATCCAAAAGAAAAACATAAAAAGAACTACATATTTGAAAAATAGGTATTATAATGCCCATTTCGAGTTGAATTGAGTCCAAATGGATTACATTTCTTAATAAGTTTCCTAATGGAAATCAATTGAAAATGGCTGGAGTTAATAAAAAAAAAAATATGCAAGGCTAAATGGTTGTTGTTAATAAATAAAGTAAGCAAGGCTATTTTTTATTTTGAATGAGAATTGCTTTCATCAATTTTGGAAATAAGTTAAAGTAATGAGAACACTTTCAGGTAAACATATACACACAATAACATACAAAAATTGTATTTATTAAATACTTAAAATATTCCAAGGTCGCTGGAAAAGGTGTGAGAATTGGCTGATTTCAAATAGCAAAAATTTGTTCTTAGCTACTCAGCATGATTTTAAAATAAGATTATTTTATGGGAAAATACATTGGGAAATAATAATCCATACGTCATATCTCCAAATTAAACATCGGAAGCTAAAATAAATATTTTTTAGTACGAGAGTTCTTTATTACTCGATATAGATACCATGAAGGGTAAGTTATATAAACTCTTCATGTAGAAAATATGCAGTGTAGGTCCATTGTTTGGTATAGTTCCCACAGAGTGGAATTTTTGATATTCGGTATTTTGAAGGATTGTTAACAGAGTTGACTGTAATTGGGTTTCTATTGAAGCCAAAATCTGACTTAACTATATTTTTGCTGGCTATAACCCTCCAGCTCAAGGAACTGTATTTTGATATTTTGATACTTTTTAAACTTTGGATAAAAGTAGACCTTTTAAAAACTTGCTCGAAAAGAGTGAAACTCAATCGACTTCGAGCGGTAGCACTCCTGAGAGCAGAAAAAAAATCGAGCAAACTCTATTTTTCGATTTCCCTTGAATAGGAGGAATGTTTTCCTCGTTTTTGAGTAGGAGCAAAATTCGTTCGAAATCGAGCAGATTCTCTTCTTGCCGAGCTCTCTTTTGGTTTTTACCATAGCGCTGTTTTTTTGTACACGATCATACGCCCCATCTTCCTTCCTCTACCCGTTTCTCCCCTTCTTTCCCCTCTTCCCCTCCTTTTCACTCTTAGATCAAACTCTGACTATACTTTCAGCGATTCTGCTCCCATTCTAATTTTTCAAACAGGAAGCACTGCGACATAAAACGAAACAAGTAAAAAAACAGTTAAGTTCCAGGCCAGACCGAACTTTTTATACCCTCCACCATTTGAAATAAACATACAAATTTCAAAAAAAAAAATTCGTCGAAAAATACCGCTAAAATGAATACCGTTATATGGGGCTATACGAAGACGTGGTCCTGCATAACTAATTTTGTCATAGGCTGTAGTAACGGTTCCGAACTTCAAATACGAAATTTGAAACAATTCCGGTGAATAATGTTGCAAAAATCATGAAAATACTGATTCTGGGGGATACAAAAATGTGGCTAAAGTCATCAAAATACCGAGTATCGTGGTGCCGTTATATGGGGATATTACGATATCCTGGACCTATGTAAACAATTCTCTTTAAGGGAGTAAATTAATCATAAAGAACTCCTGGCGTGGAATTTCAGACAATTCCATTGAATAACATGGCTTAAAACGTCGAAATACT